TTCTGAGCTGCAGTTAATCATTACCAAAAGAACATTTATAGCAGCCGTGGATCGGTGTTGTCAAACAACAAGCCATGACAGCAAAAATAGATTATTATAACCCTGGTGATAGCTAAATAAACCTGCAGAGCATTTATGATATTTAGAGCTAGTGGAAATTTCCATCCAATCAACCGCTGAGTTTTATTGCAGTTTTTCTATGCCTTTATTGAAATGCAAAAGAAAACCTGAGCTTATTGTTTTATTTATATATCTATACATGTTAAAAATAAAAGGTAATATCACAAATATCTTCCTTTATCTGAATTTAAAATTTTCCCAATTTTAATTTCATTCTTGCTTCGATTAGATATATTTGATGCTGAATTCTGAATTATTAAGCACTTACTCTTCCTGAAAGGCTGCTAATTGTGGTGTTTTAATTAATTAGTTATTTTTAAAAATTACCCCAGAAACGCACCTCCTTATGGAGGGTTAAAAGTGAAAAAACTAAATTAATATTTCATGGTACATTTATTTATTTCAATGTATATTTACATTTAACTGTTTCATGATGCATTTATTTATTTCATTTAATCACTTTTATCTTTACCTCCTGTCTTACAAACCATGTATTTGTAGCTTTTTCATGAAGACAATTCTGTTATTTTTAGTGCGTTGATTATATTGATTTTATTGGGGGGGTTGTCTTTTTTGTATATACCGGTATATACTTTTAGGATTTGGTCAATTTTGTGTACTTTTTTAAGATTTACAAGTGGTTTGTAACACCTTGTTCAAGGGCAACAGATGGAAAACTCTGGTACATTCACAGTGATGTAATGTTCTTGATAAATAAACCAAAAAACTCAACCATTGAAGCTTCAGTTTCTGCATATACCATAGATCTACTAAATTTGACTTTTTGTAAAAATCCCTACAAGAATTAATTGTCTTTCTAGGCTTTTTTGCCAATGTGTATTTATAATGTCAGTTTTACATGAGAAAAACGTGTATTTAGTTTAGTACCTACTTTGACTTTTTGACTGGTTAAAGATTTTTTTTGTATGTTTTGTTGTCAAAAATAAAAATCTTGGTTCTAAGCAGAAGGTCATCTGAACCCTCATGTGTTTCTTTCGAGTTCTTCACAGCCAAAGCAAAACTTTTCTTGACCGGGTTATGAGTGAAAACTGCTCAGTGCTTTTTGCTAACACGTATAAAACAAAGTCAGCGTTTTAAAGTGGAACCGTGCTGTGGGCAGTAAATAACACTGTCAGCTATAAGCCAGGCTTGACTTATAAACTCAAAAAAGTCAGCATTTACATGTTTTCCCCCAACTGATCATGGCAGCATGAATCTAAATGTCTCTAAGGACGATCACACAAATAAGCTGCTTAAACAGAAAATGGTGTCTGTTTGTCTGATATTATAATGTTAATATTCAGAGATGGTAAAAAGTGAAGATGTGGTGACACTTTCCAACACAAGATTAAAAAACAAAAAAATTGGGTTGATGGGTCCATGAATACATTTGCAGGTTTGATAAAGACGTAAATCTTTTAAACGTTCTATTTCATTTCCTTTTTTAAAATGTGCATTGTGGTCCATGACTTGTTCTCTGGAAACCATTACTGTCAGAAGAAAGTTAAATCCAGTGTACATGTGTTTTGTTAATCCAACGGGAACAAAATTTGTTATAAAATAAATACATCTCTGATTACATGTTGCCTAACATCAAACCCACTGATCGTGTAATGAGACTCTGATCGAGACAGCAGGTGAATCTGTGCAACAACCAAAGCCTGACCTGAACTCTTATGGCCGGTAGTTTTCCACTCATCCATTCCCCAGAACAGAATTCAGTGGTTCTGACCTGCAGGATGAAAGCAACACAAACTCATTTTACCTCTACAGATATGGTATAATTGCTTAAATAAAACTGGCATTACCTTTGTGCACACATCCTTCTGTAAGGAGTCTCTGCAGTATTCATGCAGTCACTGGTTGTGTACTTTGTAGAACAGTGGTTCTCAAACTGGAAAAAAAAAAGATTTATTATAGGTTCTGTATATATATATATATATATATATATATATATATATATAT